TTTTTTTTTATTCCTGAACTTCTGTTTTAATATGTGTATTTCATCAAACTTTAGAGTGGGTATAAAGTCAAAAGGTTTATTTTTTTAGCTTAATGCACTGTATGCATTAAAGTACAAAAAAAAACCTTCCACTAGCTGTTCCCCCCCCCCCCCTCAAACACTTATGTTGATCTCTCTTTGCCTGTCTGCAGCTATTCTCTCCCTTCTGCTGCTCTGCCAGGCTTCACTAGGGGTACAGCCAAAGGCTCCTGCTACTGTCAGTCAAATCCTGTAAGGAGGGGGAGGAGGGGGGGAAGGCGGGTGTCTATGGATGTGCACAGCCCAGCTCAGGAGTGCACCTGTATGCCTGCCTCCCATAACAAATCATGTGCTATGGGGGCACACGTGCCCGTCTTCCCCCCAATGTCAATGAGTATGGGGTACATAGTACCCCTATTCATTCACCAAAAAAGTGTAATAAAAAAAATGTCCCCCAATGTAAATCCAGCATAAATCATGATGAATGCCAATCCGCACAATAAAAAAAAAAAAGGACACTCACTGAACACGTGTCCAAGGACACACACTGAATGCCAGGAAAACATGGGGGTGAGGTCACCCGGGTGACCTGTAATTTGGCCAGCATCTCTCCGCAGGACTGTCATATGACGTGTGTCCCTGGACAGGACATGGCATGTCCTGCGGGTGGCGTTTTTTTTTTATGCAGCTTGGTTTTCTTTGTAATTGATATTGGATCTACTTTGGGGGACATTTTTTTTGTTTGTTTGTTTTTTTTATTTTAAGAAAGGACTTGTCAAAAACTTCTTTTTTTTTTTTTTTTTTACTTTTGACACATTATTGGGGTGAATGAGTAGGGGTACTATGCACCCCATACTCATTCACGGGGGGGGGGGGGACACAGGATCTGAGGGATCCTTTTTTAAAGGGGGCTTCCACATTCCAATAAGCCCTCTGCCCACAGACCCCCCACAACCATTGCCCAGGGTTGTGGGGAAGAGGCCCTTGTCCCCGAAGGGCCTGCTATAGATTGGAGGGGATCCCCATGCTATTTTTAGAAGAAATGTTATACTGCCACTTGTATTGTTTCCATTCTCCTGACAGTAGGAGAGTCATGGTTGTTAAGGACGCAGAAACCACCCATCCGCTCCTTAACAAACACTCTAAATGAATCCGAATTATCCGAATGAATCTGAAAATTTAGTTATAACTTTTTCAGATTCATTACTATGTCCATTCAGAAATTCATATCCTGTACATCCAAATCTCCGAAAATGAAATTTTCATCCGAAAAACAAACCAAATCGCACATGAAAAGTCTATTCCTTTCATTTATTCTGTTGCGAAACCTGAAAGTGCAGGTGAAGGACACAACCCTCCCCCTCCTCTTGTAAAAGATTGCAATTTAACTAGAAGAAAGGGCATTGCTGGACTTTCTTATGAGAAAGCCCATCTTTTTTTCACACTGTCATGAATGCATCCTGAAACAAATTGTAATTTGAAGATGTTATACACATATTGAAAAAAGCTTAGAAAACATTAGCATATAAAATTGTAAACAGTCAATGGAAATAAAAATAAAGTGACGAAACACCAATGTAATACCATCATATTTTAAAAAGACATGGAAAAGGATATTGTAAGACAGAAAGTCTGTATGATCCACATCATCCCCCTGCCTGGATCTGTTCCTGTAAAAACCCCCAGGATGACCGATACTAAGAAATTTACAAAATTAACATGAAAAACGCCCCCCACTGGATTTCTTTGCATTGTATCTATCTTGGCTGTGGATGGGAGGTGAATTGCAAGGATAGGACCCTAAATATTTGCTTCTCATTAAAGCCACTTGGTTTCTAAGTTTTGAGAAAGAAAAATCCATCTGTTTTCCCTGCAGAGAAAAAGCCTGTTTATACATTTCTCCACAATATATACAGAATCATTCCAGATGTAATTGTTTCCTGGGGATTTTTTCTTTCCTTTGATTAACTTGATGCATCTTACAGGATGTTACACTTCAGCTTGGAGGGGATAAACATTTTCTTCCAGTGAAAGCTAACTTAAATGTCTAAAATAAAATTTTCCAGTGTAAACCTTTTAATGTTATGTTTTCACAAACTAAAGGCAGACTCAGAAGTACTATTTTTCAAGGGCATCTTGCCTTTGGACAGGCTACTTTGACAAAGTTGTTGCAAGTGGAATAATTTTTTTTTATACAATATCGTAGGACATTAAAGGGTCAATTTACTTAGCTGTTTGAATTATTTTACTTGCTGTGTGAAATATTTTAAAGAATAAAGTAAAGCTTTTCTGAAAGAAACTGATGTCATTGACCTAAATTAAATGGCTAAAAAAATATTAATAGTTTTGAGTGAAATTGACATTCCTTAAATATATACTTATTGTTTAAGATGTAATTTTATATGTATTATTATTTTACATACATATATTTTTTCAACTTACATATATACCAAAACATCTTAATACAAAAGAAACTGCATCCAACAATTAAAAAACATAAATAACCCAAGTAAGCCAAATATTACATATTTAAACCATTATAGATTCTAATCTATGCCATCCCTCATGGGATATATTTTTTTCAACTCACACCATAGGAAGACATCTTAATAGAAAAGAAACTGTACCCAACAATTAAGAAGCATTAATACCCAAGTAAGCCAAATATTACATATTTAAAACATTATATATTCTAATCTATGGTATCCCTCTGGTTTCCCCATATAGAATGTTATTCCAACATTCCTGAGTATGTAGCATCTTTCATATTCTCACCAGTTTGGTACCAGACTGGGAACCTGAAATCATTCTGTCCAAATTGTTTGAAATTTGTTTAAAACTCGCTTGTGCTGAAAAGTTAGCTGCTCTAATTCACATTCAACTTGACTATATTTCAAATGTTGTTGGGTGTGGTGAAATTCTATTTGAGCAATTAAGTTTCCAGAAAGAAATAATGTTCTCCTAAACCCCTATCTCAGATTAAATTTATTTTATGGAACTTCTAGATGCCCCAAAATGCAAGTATATGGATTTTATATGTAGCTGGGTGCCTTTCCAGCTGCTGGAGGTGTGGGCTGTGGGGAGGTGTAGCCATGGAGGCTGAAGACTGAGCCACAGAGAGCCACTGGTGATTTGGATTGTGGGGCACAGACCTGCTGCTCTTACCTGTCTGTGCTCACCTTCAGAGGTAGAGAGCTGGTGAGAGTCTAATGCGGGGACTGAGCCTTGCAAGGGCCTGTTATTGAAGACTGAGACTTCTCGGACTTATAGTCCCATAGCCATCCAAGGTGCAGTCCTAAACAGACAGCTTTATGTGCACCCACGTTACAGAAGGCCCCAACGATAACCTGCTACTACTGATAATTTGGCACCAGGTACTTGTAGTCACCTCATGGGGTATCCCTTTGTCAGAAAACCATTCACCCACCCACTATTGGGGTTGTATGTGTTGTGTGCACATGAGGACATTTTTTGTTTTGGGTTAGTTAATGCATATACCTTTAATCCTGTTTGCATCAGTTAAAATTGACTTCAACATTTCTACAGTTCAATTTATTGCCATCTTATGGGTCAGTGTTCATTTTATCTAGTACTCATCTTTAAACATGTGCAGTTGCTTGCTTATGGATTGCTTTACTGCCTTGCCATAATATGCCTAATAATCTACCACCAAGTTGCCTGTGGCCTGTTTTTTGCGCATTATTGAGTGGTAGCTTACTAATGTTTACATTACATAGACGTGTCAGTGGGGGCCGAGCAGCTTAAAGATTAGTGACAGAACAGGGAATCTTCCATAACCAAGCGGCTCTTGCTGGGGTAGCACTAAACATACATTTGTTTTATAAAAAACAGTCTGTTGAACATCTTTCTAATAGCCTACCAACATCTCCAGATAAGACATATGAAATCTCATTTGCTATGTGTGGGTTTGCAGGAAGCTTTCTAATTTTGCAGGAGCCTCCAGTGCAGTTTTTGTAAAAGCATGGGGAAATTGTAAACATAAAAACATTAATCCACTGGTGTGTCCACGTTAATCTTCCTTAGTTGTTGCAATCAGCAAAATTGAGCAACGCATTTCAGGGCTTTCAGAGGAACTGGAATATGGTAAAGCAGAGACTAGTAAAATTGATCCGTGTGGGAAAATAAATCAGATTGGGCTTTAAAGCATTTGTCCCAGGCTTTTTATCACTCTATTTTCTTCTTTCTACTCTCCATGGTCTCTCTTGCAGGCTCTCATCTGTATTTCCCTCATTGCCACCCCACCCCCCCCCCATTCAGCAGTCCTACTTTTGCCTTTTCTCAGCAAAGTCTAAGGGAAACAGTATGCAGTGTCAGTATCAGGAGAATCTAGCACTCTGCCTTTTCACAGCTGCAGGTCTTATTCCAGCATCTTGGTTTTGGCTGTGATAAATTCTCCCTGTCCGTCTGTCCACCTGCAAGGTGATTGATGTGGCTAGTCTCTGGGTAAAGACTAAACATTATTTAAGCCAGCCAAACCTGCAGTCTCATGCTTGTAATAGCGTTTGTAACACATGCTCAAGCTCCCTGTTTGTCTGCCCTGCTGCTAGAATTTCCCTGTGTATGACCTGGATCAGATATAGACTATTTGCTGAACTCTGCCTGCGTTTTTGCTATGGATTGGACCTTGACTATTCTGAACCTTCCCTTCCTTGTACCTAAACTGTTATTGAACCACTCTGCCTGTCTGCCAAGTTTGCTGTACCTGTTTGCTGTGCTCAGTTACTGCTTGCCCCAGCGTGGTAGCCAGGCACTATTATATTTTATATTTTGTATAAGTCTTGGGGGCAACCGAGTACCAGTAGGCCTGCTTGCTTATGGGAAAGGGGGCTGCTATAGGTGAAGAATGCAGAAGCCAGCTACAGTATCTGACCACCTGTGTTAGGGGTAAGTGTGACATATAGGTACATATCATTGCATCTTGGGTTTTATCCATGCTCCTCTGAGTGCTCTGAGCCTTTCAGCAGCCATCTGTCCAGTGGAGTGCCCAACTGAGCTATACAAAGCACTATCCAAATCTCTATCTCCAAATCAGTGCCACATCATGTTTCCAAAAAAGTTACTAAACCCAGGACCCTGCATTCACTCTATCTGGTCTCCCACAGTGCACACAACATGGAAATGCAATAATTTTGGTAAATATAAACTTCTAAATACCTTTTTTTCATCAGCAGTTAGAGCAGTCTTGTGACTTCAACTGAGCACTGGTTAAAGCTTGTAGGAGGAGTTTTCTTTCTGGACAGTGCTGATTGGCCCTGTGCTGATCGCATGCACCCTCCTGAGAAAAAAAAAAAACCTCTCTAGCAATACACCAAAACTAAGTACATGTGCATGTGTCTAGGGCTCATTCTTTCTTATCAGGTGGACTTCTGAACAAGAGGAGGGCCAGAGACAACAGGATCAAAACAGACTTTTTACACAGTGAAGAGGATTAACCCCTTAGGTTCCACAGTGAGTATAACAAGCATGCTTTACTGCATATACACACTGATTTTACTGTTGTGGGTTTAGTAACACTTTAAGAAACTAGATGATAGAACCACAACACATTTCAGCACTATTATTTTCCAGTACCAAGCACATGTTCGCAAAGCAGGAAAACAACCGCAGGAATTCACATATATTCTTTAAAGTAGAACTATAAGCAGAACTTTTTTTTCATTTTGGATAGAGTAAAGGACGGTTATAACGCATATCAATTGGGGTTATTTTCGCCATCTGTGTCCTATTGGGAAGATTTACCAAAATTTGGAATTTTCTTTTTACTTTTATTGATAATGATTACCGGGATGAATAGAAAGGGGGAGCGTGCAGCACAGCGATCCGGTGCCCGCTGTGTCCTCTTGACACAGTGGAACACCAATCGTCGTGCGGGACCTCTGTGCGATCAGTGATCACATGCAGAGTAGTAAGCAAGATGCCACTTCTGACATCATTGCTTACTACGTGTGAAATCTGTGAATCATCACAGAGGTCACATGGTACAAGGCTATTCACAACAGCATTATACCATTTTTTTTTTACTAAAAAGATAACTGAATACATTTTGGCCAAGATTTATGATGAAATATTATTTATTTGCAAAAGTTTATAAGAAAAACACTTTTTTCTAAATTTGTGGACTTTTTCATTTATATCAAAAGTAAAAAAAAAATAAAAACCCCAGTGGTGAATAAATACCACCAAAATAAAGCTTTATCTGTCTCAAAAAAATGCTAAACAATTCATATGGATACAGTGTTGCATGACCGCGCAATTGTCATTCAAAATGTGATAGCGCTGAAAGCTGAAAATTGGCTAGGACAGGAAGGGGGTAAAACTGTCCGGACTTGAAGTGGTTAAAGTGTTACTAAACCCAGTACCCTGCATTCATTATATCTGGTCCCCCACAGTACACAGAACATGGAAGTGCAATTATTTCAGTAAATATAAACTGCTAAATACCTTTTCTTATCAGACGTTAGAGCAGTCTTGTGACTTCTATCAGTGTTCAGCAGAGCACATGTTACAGCTGGTACGAGGAGTTTTCTTTCTGCTCTAGGAGGATGCAAAACCCCTGACCTCTGTCTGGACAGTGCTGAATGGCCCTGTGCTGATCACATGCACTCTCCCAAAAAAAAAACCTCTCTAGCAATACACACTTTAACTGAGCATGTGTAGAATGGCTACGGTTCAGTCTGTCTTGTCAGGAGATAAGACGTGGACATTTGAACAAAAGGAGGAGCAGAGAAGACAAGATCAAACGGCCTTTTTACACAATGAAGAGGATTAACCCCGTAGGTTTTACAGTGAGTATAACAAGCTGATTGTACTCTTGTGGGTTTAGTAACACTTTAATGGGGACACAGACAGCAATAAAAACCTAATAGGTGTTCTAATCCCTCCCTTTTCTAATCCCTCTCAACTCCGTCCAAAACTAAATAAAAGTTTTGCCTTTAGTATTGCTATAAGCAGATTAATTATTATTGTAGCACATTACAAAATATAATAAAACGTATTGGTTGTTAAAATCAGAACGGATGCATTTCCATCCAAAATGCTAATGAAAGTGGTTGTAAAGGCTGAAGGTGTTTTTACCTGCATGCATTCTATGCATGCAGGTAAAAAACTGTCTGTGTGCTGCTCCCCCCTCAGCCCCTCTAATACTTACTTGAGCCCCCATCCAGCGATGTGCACAAGAGCCTTGGTTGTCCTGGGACTCTCTTTCATTGTCTGAGACAGCAGCGAGAGCCATTGGCTTCCACTGCTGTCAACCACAGCCAGTGAACCAATGAGGAGGGGGGGGGGGCAGGACAGAGCCATGGCCCTATGTGTCTTACGGACACATAGAGCTGGGCTCAGGAGCCAGCCTGCACCAGTGCCCCCATTACAGACGGCTTGCTATTGGGGCACCGGTCAAAGAGAAGGAGTCAAGAGTGTTGGCGGGGGACCTGAAAAGAAAAGGATCAGGGCTGCTCTGTGCAAAAAACCACTGCACAGAGCAGGTAAGCATGACATGTTCGTTTTTTGTTTTTTTTTTAAAGCCGAAGCTTTTGTACCACTTTAATATGCTATATTTTTATATATTCACTGATACTCTTCACAGACGTTTGACTATGATATATGAGTTCCTTTCTGCATAATAATACCCCTTTACATAATGTTTGTTTTACTAAATCTCCTTACAATAAACAGACATAAAAGTGGGATTTACTAGGGCATAAATTAAGGTAAAAATAGAAAGTAGGCCTTTGTTGCAGAATGAGCAGACGATTCAAAATGTATTGGTATTTGACCTCCTTATAAATCCAGGAATAGTTTATTAATGAAGGTCTTCTTTTAGAAGAACACTAAATCACAGTACTCTTGGTGAGCTGTGCAGGCTGTTTGAAAACTTCCTTATTGCTGTCTGTTTTTATGTAGAGGATATGAATGGGCCAATGATAAATGGAGAATCAGCAATTCAGCATTCCTTCTTTAGAGACCTGCAGCTGTGTGGATTACCCTTTCACTTCCTGAGTTACCGGGACATCACTGCAAAGCTCCATTTTTGTTGCATACTGTGATTCGCCCAGTTAAGAAATGGTTATTATGTTTTTTTGTTTTTTTTTTACTTGCAGCTGGTAAAGTCATCTGGCAGCGGCTGCCGGATCCTGACCCCAGTATCTTCCGTTCCTTTACTTTCCAGTTACATGAAAAGAAAACTAAAAGAGAAAACTTCCTACAGCCAAAGCTAAGGCTAATAGTGACAGAAATGTTATCTCTCTCTGCTCTGAGGCCTGAATCCGAGTCAACTTCCAACTACTTTTACTCTTCTGCAAACAGCCATTGTGCTGTTTGTAGCATAGCTTTAGAAATGTTTTTAACAGATTTTAGAATATTTAAAAAAATGTTTTGATATTTGATTTTATTGTTTATTGATTTTATTTATGTTTTTATTCTTTTTATAGATTTTTGGAAGATTTTTTACAGATTAAGAAAACAGATTTACACAGGCAGGCAAAGATACAATACACTATAGTATACAATAGTATTGTTGGGCTTACAGATGGAACCACAAAATTCATAGGCGTTGAAAGTGAATATTCTGCCTGAGGCAGTAGTCCTTGTACAGAGTTGAAGTGTTACTAAACTCACAACATTAACTCAGTCTGTGTATGCAGCAAAGCATGTTTGTTTATACTCACTTTGGCACTTAAGGGGTTGATCCTCCACATTATGTAAAAAGGCCTGTCTTTGATCCTTTGATGAGTACAGAGCTCTAGGAGTCACTTTGCACATGCTCAGTTTAGTGTATATTATTGCTAGAGATATTTTTTTCTTTGGGAGGGTGCCTGTGATCAGCACAGGACCAATAAGCACCATCCAGACAGAGGGTCAGAGGTTATGTAGCCTCATAGGACAGTCACTCTGCACATGCTCAGTTTAGTTTGTATTGCTATAAAGTTTTTTTTCTTTTGGATGGTGCATGTGATCAGTACAGGGCCAATCAGTGCTGTCCAGACAGAGGGTCAGGATTCATGCAGCCTAATAGGACAGTCAGAGCAGAATGAAAACTCCTCCTACAAGCTTTACCAAGTGCTCAGCCGGACATTGATTGAAGTCACAAGACTGCTATATACTGCTGATGAGAAAAGGTATTTAGCATTTCCATGTTCTGTGTACTGTAACAGACCAGATATAGTAAATGTAGGGTCATGGGTTTAGTAATGTTTTAAATTTGAAGTACGGGGTGGTAGGACAGGATAAAGTGTCCTCTTCTCAGAAGACAGAGAAGAGACTTCAGCACGACAACTAGAGGGCTAGCATTTTGGAAAGAAGAGCTCAGCAATTGCAGCCTCAATGATTCTTTTATAACAGAGTCATTTTAAGCATCCATCTTAAATTAGCAAATGTCTGCCTAGTCTTTGAACATGTGTAGGTGATTTTAGCTGTCACAACACAGTTGATGCTGTACTTGATACTTTTTAAATTGCTCTAATAGTTCATTTTTCAGGACAAGAGATCCACTACCTTCTTCTTGTTCAAGTAGAACTGTAAGAAGAGAGTTGAACTCTTGGAAGTACAGAAAAAAGAGAAACATCACATACTTTACTGAACTGTGTTCTTTTTTAAATACATTTCTGAATTGGAGCAGTAAGGATCAAGGAAACATGCAGACTGTTAATAGGGTAGCCAAAGACTAAAGTGATTTTATAACACCAGCCTTGTATTAGCAATACAAAAATAAAAATCTCCTTTCATATTGTGAGTGCTGCCTATCTGCTTCCCATCTCTTTCCACAATTTCCTGGAATCCCTGCATGCTTTGGACTACATGTGCCATGGCACCTTGCTACCTGCAAGCAGTGATTCCTGTACTGATTCTGTGCTCTGCAACTCCTCCTCCTCCTCCTCTCAGCACCTCTGTAGTTCAGAAGGTAGGCTCTGTGAAATGTGTGACACAGAATTCAAGGAAGTAAATGTGTGGGGATTTTTACAAATTAAGTTTACAAACTTCAAATTGTTCAGAATAATAAGAGTAGGCTGGAAATAATTTAAATAAAATGTGAAGATGAACAAATTATTTGACCATAGATATGCTTTTACATAGATGACTAAGACTAAGAAAGATGAGAGTAGAGGGTAGAGTGGGACAGATAAACACAGCTGAAGTTTTTCTTTTTTGTTTACAGTGAGAAAGCTTAGGTCATCCATCATATTTAAGATTTTTATCGTTGCTCCCACTGGGGAGATTTCTTCAGTTTCTGCCCCAAAGACAGTTAGTCCCTGACAGAAATGAGGAGGATGTCTTCCCAAATGGGTCACAGTTATCAGTTTAAACTTGACAGAGACTCTAATCCATTCCCAGTCTTACAAAACTAATAAAATGTTTTATCTGGATCTCCTATTTTTACAGTTTACCTTGATGTAACAGTTGTAGCACTACCCCCGCAGGAGACACTGGTTATGTTGGGTCCTCTGTTCTTACCTTGACCTTGGCAAAGACCTCAGCACCATTGACACTACAGATATACACATCAATAGGGAAACATTAATGATTATTGTTAACACCTTAGGGTCACCCTGAAATAAAATCCAAGACCTTTTGGTAAAGTAACAAAGTATATTGCCAAATACTGTTCAGATAATCAGAGTATAACAGTGGGGATCTCTTTGCAGAATGCACTGTAATAAAGCTTTTCTTCATATGGTTAGAATGTTGCCTTAAGTGCAAAAACCAAACCAGCATACACTGTAGCTCTTCTCACTAAATGAGCAACATAGGGCAAAAACAGCCTGGTACTAATGCAGATCAGGGCTATGTTGCCTATGGGCAGTAAGGGGTGAGAGCTCTTCAAACACAGAAATATAAATGTGCTGAAAACGGTGCTCTATAGCAGGTGAATTATGTACAGTCTTTAAGACTTCTTCTGGCTGCCCTTGAAGACGTTGGTGCACTTGTTGGGGGGGTGGAATATCCATGAAAACAGTGAGTTATGTATATTACTGATCAGTAGTAAGTAGATGGGGAATGTCAGTGGGAATACAGGACATTATGTTGATAAATGTAAGGTTATGCACTTGGGGGCTAAGAATATGCATGCATCATACATACTAGGGGAAGTACAACTGGGGGAATCAATGGTGGAGAAAGATCTGGGAGTTCTGGTAGATCACAAGCTTAATAATGGCATGCAATGCCAAGCTGCGGTTTTCAAAGGCGAGCAAAATCCTCTCTTGTGTTAAAAGAGGTATATACTCCAGAGAGAGAGATATCATTTTACCCCTGTACAAATCATTAGTAACACCTCATCTGGAATATGCAGTTCAGTTTTGGGCACTAATTCACAAAACGAATATTGGGGAACTGGAGAAAGTACAGAGAAGGGCAACTAAACTGATAAGAGGCATGGAGGAGCTCAGCTATGAGGAAAGATTAGAGGAACTGAATTTATTTCTCTCTTGAGAAGAGGAGATTAAGGGGGAATATGATCAACATGTATAAATACATCAGTGGTTCATATAGTGAACTCGGTGTAGAGTTATTCACCCTGAGGTCATCACAGAGGACAAGGGGGCACTCTTTACGTCTGGAGGAAAAGAAATTTAATCTCCAAACACGGAAATGTTTCATCAAAGTAAGAGCTGTGAAAATGTGGAATAGACTCCCCTCAAGAGTTGGTTCTGGCCAGCTCAGTGGATTACTTTAAAATAGGCCTGAATTCTTTCCTAGATACCCAGAATATACCTGGATACTAATATTTATCGGTAAAGTTGATCCAGGGAGTATCCGATTGCCTCTTGGGGATCAGGAAATAATTTTTTTCCCTGCAGGAGCAAATTCGATCATGCTTTGCTGGGCTTTTTTTTTGCCTTCCTCTGGATCAACTGTGAGTATAGGATTATAACTTTTTTATTTTATGGTTGAACTGGATGGACTTTTGTCTTTTTTCAGCCAGAATAACTATGTAACTATTAAAATTTCCTCACATGATTATGCACAAAGTTAATATTAAATTCATTAATGGGTTAATAGCCCACTCACCAGCTCCTCTATACTTGATGATCCCAGGTGGCTTCCTGCAGAGATGTGATGGGAAGTGGTGGATTCTACAATGCAGCTGTGAACCTCGATGGGACTCGGCACAGCAGCGGTCAGCTAGACTGGGTTTAGTACTCTGGATCATCTAGCGGCACAAATGACAGGCCTCTATGCAGGAATTGGCCACAGAAAGGAACTACTCTGCTTTTAGCTCAGTCTAGCGGTCTGTAGCCAATCTTCCCCCTCTCCACAACCGACAGGTCCCAACGCCAATGCAACACTAAGTATCCAACCGGATTCTCAGCTCTGCTCTCTCTCTCTTTCTGAACCTTTTCTTCCTTACACAGCAGTCCAAGCATTCCTGGGCTCTTTTATTTATGCAATGATATTGCATCTTTTCTGGCCCAAACTACATCTCCCAGTATTCAGTGTTCGTGGCTTATAAAAATCAAAGGTTCTTAGTCTAAAGAAGCTGCATCTTGTGGTGCAAACGGGAACTGCATTCAGGAAATATTTACTATAATAATACATTATAAAGCCTGCACATCCCAGTAACAGTGATTCTAGTTACACTGCCACATTTTTATAAAGTGGAGAAAAAACTGGTAAGAGTTAGTAAGGAAATTAGTTGAAATGTGCCAGAAAATAAGTGAGTATTTTTTGTCTGTCTTAGTAAAAAGACCTCTGAATGATTTATAGTATGTGTACCACAGACCCCAGACTTGGCTGGCTGTTTGATGACAGGTTGCATTCCCTGACAGGCACATGGCAGCAAGGCACACAGAAGTTTGCAGACACTCAAGTCAGGAATTAGGTCCTGCATGTCTTTTTGCAGTTTATTTGCTGGTTTAAACTAGCAGAAATACAACAGAGGAAACTAGTAACTGATCTGCTCCTTTGGGATAACCACCCTCTTAAATGACTTATAATGCAGGAGACCCCTTAACAGAGGTATAATCCTGAGACAAAAAACTGTAATGAGCTCTTCTAAAAGTGGCCAGGACAGTCTCTAGGATCCTTGAGGCTAGTACTCACTGTACCATGGGTACTGTAATGCCTCTCGTAGTTCTGTCCAGTCTTTGTGCTTGATGCCTCTAGCCTGGATCCTCTACAAAGCTTCCTGCACTGCTTCAAGGTACTTTGGAAAATATCCCTGAGCTCTAACTGGAACTAGGATCCCAAAAGGGTGTTCTTCTGCTCTGCAGCTGGCAGCCAAGGGGGTGCCTCAGCCCTCAGGCTGGGTATTACTCCCCCAGGAACAAGACACTGCTGTCCTAGGATCCAGCCTATTTATACCCTTCTTAGTCCCTTGCTGGTCAGTTTCTTGATCAGGGATTGTGTCAGGAATGGACTTGCCAATAGTGGTGGGACTCACCTGCCTTGTGGGCTGCAGTACCAGGGCTGGCCAGCGAGTGCTCTCAACAACCAGAGGTTCACTTTGGCAATTAGCCATCACCTGGGGCTGATTGCAGGTGTATTTAAGGGATGGCCAGACCTGCAGTCTGTGCCTTGGTGTGTGTTTTTCCATGGGCCCCTGTATCTTGTAACCTGCATTCCTGTTCCTGTTCCTGTTTCTGCCTGACTTGTTGCCGACCCTGCCTGATCCTGACCTCTGCTGACTTCTCCTGTTTGATCCCTGGCTTGTGACCCTGACCATTCTCTGCCTGACCCCCTGTACCTACCTGTCCGTTAGTCGCTGTACCCGGCTCGTGACCTGACTACTCTCCGCCTGCTCCTCCTGTACCTACCTGCCCGATAGTTATCGACCCGGCCTGCCTGACTACGTTGTGCTCTATATGTGTATGTACCTGTGTATCTATATCAGTTTAGGTTTGGGTTCGTTTCACCTTGTTGTATGTATTTGTGTTAGCTTGGGGTTTGGTGCACTGCGTTTATATTTGTATTGTTAGTCTTAATAAATTGTCTTATTTATACCATATCTGAGGCCTGTGTTTCCCTGTGTCAGTACACACACCTCTGGTCATACCCAGAGCCCTGACAGATTGACTGTAGTTGTAAAAATATTTAGGCCAAGGTCTCACTCTTCCACCCACTATATCCCAGAAACTAGTGGGATGCAGGGGAAAGTAGTTGGGTTGTACCAGCAGAACCCAGAACAGCCAAAAGCAATTGAGCACTGCTCTCCTACTACACTAAACTAAATTTACCTAAACTGGCAACCTAACTAGGAGGATGCTACTTAATGTTAATGTAGCGATACCCTTGTGGGAGCCACTGTAGTTATGTCCAGGTCTTCCCTAAGTTCGCACTGCAGCCAACCACAAGGTAGTTTCACAGCCAGGTACACACACTTTCGCTCGTTGTTTCCAATGATCAGTCTAGAGGTTGTTGTTTTTGTAGTTTTATTCTTGGAGAACTTGGGTAGGGATGGGGAATTTAGTAGGATACTCCAGGAATAGAAAAAGTTACAATTGAGGACAGAACTTCCTTAGATAGCAGCCTTGAGCAAAGTTCCAATGTCAGAAACGGGTTAAATGGACAGTGCTTCTCAGGACACCAGCCGGTGTCCCCTTTTACAGACTCACACTGACTATAAAGCACCAGAAGAGGGGTAGTAAAGCACAAAGAGTCCCCAAGATACCTCAGTATCTGTACTCACAAGGCCCAAGGACAGAATGGTAGCTTCTTTCCAATCTTCCAAGAGATGCCCTCCAGTGATAACAGATAGGTCTTCAGCTGACAGCTCTCCTCAATCAGCTTGCTGAAGAACAGGGGTCACTTTGTCTCTTACTTCAGGCCATCAGGTCACCAACCTGAGACTGCTTGGCAGCAGGTGCCTGGGGAGGCAGCGTGCCTTCCCCAGGCTGGTATAATCTTCTCCAGGAAACACCCAGGGCTCAGTAATGCCCAACAAATAACTACCCTCTCCCAGCATCTTTAGGGTTGCACTCCCTGGATTGGCTGGAGTGGCACTAATACTGTGCTCTGAATTAGTTCCACCTATACATCCAATCTTTCCTAGGATACTTGGATACAGAGGAAGCCAGAGGCAGAACTAGCAGCACTTGAACACACTGAGCAAGCATTACTAACAATTGCATCTGTGTTAAGCAGAAAGCCCAATTAGATTATCTTAACAGTTCTCTTGTTAAGTAGAGGAACCAACCAGGGGCGGACTGACAACTCATGGGGCCCCCGGGCAATAGGGGATCATGGGCCACCTGTGTCCTTGGCCAAACTCAAAAAAGCCTATGAAAAAGGTACCAGGGGCATCTCATGGAGCCCCCTACTGACCCCGGGCCCTCGGGCAGTGCCCGAGTTTCCAAATGGTCAGTCCGCCCCTGGAACCAACTATAACTGCTTTCCTGCCGCCCTATATCGAATATACTGCTACAGGGCAGCAGGGACGCACAAAATCACGTATGTATACATGATTTTGCATCTCCGGGTAGGGAGCGCGAGTGAACTGCTATTAGGTTCCTATCTGGTGATTATTCGCAGTCACCTGGTGATCGCCGAGCATTACCGACAGAGGGAGAGAACTATATGTAAACAATACAGTTCTCTCTCCTGTCAGCTCCTGCACACTGCTTTGCATGGCTCTGCATAGCACAGCATAGCCATACAAAGCAGTGTGCTTACAGTTGAAAGCACTAACAGAGCACACAGTGAAACAGCACACAGTTAACCCTTTGATCACCTCACATGTTAACCCCTTCCTGCCCAGTGCCATTAATACAGTGTCAGTGCTTTTTATTAGCACTGATCACTGAACTGGTGTCACTGGGGATGTCAATGACACCAAGTCATTCCCCCCCCAGTGTCAGAATGCCTGCCACAGTCCTGCTATAAGTCGCTGATAACCGCCATTGCTACCAAAAAAAAAAAATCCCTGTATATATACTGCCATTAGTAAATGCTTTAACTTTCACGTAAACCAATTAATTTACATGTATTGGGATTTTTTTTTTTAGCAAAGACTTGTAGCAGAATACATTTTGGATTAAATTTATGACGAAATTTCATTTTTAAATTTTTTTTTTTTATTGGATATGTTCAATAGCAAAAAAGTAAAACATTTTTTTTTCTCAATTGTTCTTTTTTTTTTTCATAGCGCAAAAAAAAAAAAAAAGCGGAGGCAATCAAATACCACAGAAAGAAAGCTCTATTCATGGGAAAAAAGGATGTAAATTTCATTTGGGTGCAGCATTGCATGACCGCACAATTTTCAGTTAAAGTAACACCGTACCGTAATGCAAAAAATGGCCTGGTCAGGAAGGGGGGTAAATCCTCAGGAAGGCAAGTGGACAATTTATTTGTCTAGCACCTGTCTAGGAGAGTGCTACATTAACAACAAAAACATGTGAGAAAAATATGTGAATTTACATACAGAGAAATTACACAAATCCCTTGTTCTTTTTCTGTAATGACAGATTAAGACAGGACTTTTATAGAATATTTTTATGACCGCAGGTGGTTAACGTCGTACATGACAATAAATTGTAGACTGGTAGTGCTATGGCATAAAAAACTAGTGCATAGTGCCTGGCTTTCTTGTAAGCATGGTTTTCATTCAAACATAATAGCTGTAATTTGGAATGCCAATGGTGGGCTCAGGTTAGAGTGCAGGACTGAGAAGGTACAGGCACCGATGAGCAGTCACTATCTATAACTTGACAAAGAATACTGAGAGTAAGTTAAAGGGTAAGCAAAAGATAACAATCAACTTCTCTTATTTGTTGCCTTGTTCTGTTAAATATACAGTACCATTGAAAGCATTCTGTTATATCTATTGCTAAATAGAATACCTCTTCGTCTTCCCAGATATATTGTCAGCTATTAAAAGCACACCCCCCCCATGTTGAAGGCATGTGGTCTGTTATGGTTTGGGGGGGTGCATGCTCATCCCCCCTTTCCTGGCCTACCTGGCTACATGCTCAGGTTAGGGTCTGGTATGGATTTTGCAAAAATGGATGCAAATGGATACAAAAAACATACCTTTTGTCTGTTTGCATTGGTTTCTGTCCATTTCCTTAATGGATACAGACCTAAAAGGATGATCATCCGTTTAGATCTGGCTGCCCGTTTTTCATCTGTCAATGGATGAATGAAAAATGGACAGATGGAACCCTAGTGTGAAAGGACCCTAAAAGGCTGAAAAAAAATAAATACGTATCACATAAAGTGTGTCAGACTACTGCAGAGAGACAACTGCTTTCACACAGAGAGCAAGGGTTCTTCTATGCTGGCAGGGAACAGGCTTCTATACTCAGGTTGTGGCTGCTTTCTAACAAACGCACATTGTAAGACGTTGAGTGTAGCAAACTAGCTCATCCAGCTGGAAGCAGAGTTCTCCTTTACCTTGTTGTATTTGAGGTATCCCTTGAATCATTCCTCACATCCCCCCCCCTTGCATTCCTGTGAGGCAGACTTTATCTCCTGGCAGATGATGTGGAACAACCATGAGAAGTGGAGCCAGCCCGTCTGCGGAGGTGTCACTTTGGTCACCCAAAGCTATGTAAGCCCCACACCTTATCAACCTGACCCAGAACTGAACATTCTTCAGGTCAACTGTATGGTTCATATCACTGGATATGAAGCTGGTAATTTAGTGTAGAGTTTCCCAATGACCACTCCCAAGTCAGAGCCCCCCCCCTCCCCTTTGAGAGGGACCTTTAAGAGAGTTAAGTGAGTTAGTCTGACACACACACACAGAGATCTCCGAGGTAACATCGTAACAGAGGAGATCAAAGAACCTTTCTGCTCTGCATCTTGAATTTGCTAAAACCAGGCAAGGCAAGTAACTTACCCTGTAATTTCCTCGCTATTCTATGTTTGCTGTGTCTTTATATACATATATATATATTTTTGTGATATCTCTTCGTAAATATTTATTTGCATCCAACGCTTTTAGTAATACATCTTTCTTTCTGAAAGTGTTAAACTGTTTCTAAGCGCTTACTTGCAATTCACGAATCCCTGCCTTTGAAGAGACACTACGGGTTGTCATATCTCTGTATAACAGAGGGCCGATCAATATTTCAATCATTATAGTGTATATTTGGTAACGGGAGTTTCCCAGTCTCCGACAAAAGTGGTGGTGGCAGTAGAGGGTTAGTTGCGTAACTAACCCGACCCAGTAACAAGCGCATTCAGGCTGCAGGCACCGATTGTAGTCCATTAGCTGGGCAATCGCTGTGTAGGGTGCAGCTGGGTGGGGCCTTGTTACGTGCGTCACACCGCGGTTTTGGATCGGCCGGCCCTTCGGTCTCGAGTTTGGTGAGAAGGTCTGGGGTCTGACGCCGTGGGCGTGACGTATTACTGTTAGTCGCGGCTGTGCGATTGTTGCCCTGTTGGTGGCGGCGACCGCGGGTCGTGACATTGAGCACCTTTCATTTTGATGCACCTGAAATATATTTAGTTGATTTAAACTGAAAGTTCAGTTGGGCTTAAAAAAAATAGTTAATCTGTTGACTTTTTGTTGGAGCTAGTGCCATGGTATGCAAAACTATTCAGTGAAGAGCTGAATCAGAATAACTTAAGAATTTGGCACTGTTTAAGTCACAGACCAGAATTGGCAACTCATGACACTATTCAAATAAATGCTATAACCCATTTTAATAATTTCATGGAAAGCATTTGGTTTATAGTCTTCCTAAAGTGAATTCAAAACAACTGCTTCTCCTTCAGTTGACAATAATCAAGCAAACTTGAAGTGATATATTAAAGTGGAACTTAATGGTATCTGAGCAACATAAACTGAAAATGCTGTTTAATTAATTTTTAATATTCAAAGCACACTCACCCATCCATCCTTGCCTCCATGCTTTATTTTGTTTGGAATACATCCCCCTAGCATTTCTGGCCTTGGCCATCTTGAGTAAAGGCAGATCATTTATGTAGCATTTACTTTCTGGAATTTATCTGCCCTTAGCTCAGGCATGCAAGAAAAAAATGCATATAAAGACTCCTGGCATGTATGACATCATTTTAGTCTAGGCCAGAAACCAGGAAGCAACAGCAGAAATGCAAAAATTAGTTTAAAACAAGTAAATATAATATGCTTTCCTATGTATTTACTAATGCTAGCAGCATAAGAATTAAAAATAGTTAAAAAAACGGTTTGGTTTTTTTTTGTTTCATACTTTCATCATACTTACCTAGGTGGAAGCAGCATTGATCCAATGCTGCATCTGTCCCCAGCAGGCTCTAAGGCTGAGAACTTAGTGACCAGATACCGCTTATCGTTCCCTCCACTACCCTTAGCAGAGAGCGGTAACTGACAGTCACCACTCTCTGCTCTGTCCCCTGGTACTTACTGGAGTACTGGACTGTGGAGGAAGTGGGATCGGCTGGCTCGGGCTCTCAGTGGCTTGCTGAGAGGCTGAGCCAGGTCCTGGTCTAGGCTTCTGGGTGGATCTTGACCATATGGTTGCAATTCTTTTTCAGCTTGGTCCAGCTCTATGACATCAGTCAACAGCAGGCTTTAGCCCTCTGTCAGCTGAAAATAGGTCACAGGAGTGCAGAACGAACTGCACTCCTGTGATCCATAGAAGTGCAGCCAAACAAGTTTTGGCTCCACTTATCTTTTAATGTTGATTGAGAGAGTTTAGTTTCTATTTAACTGCAACTAAAACTAAATAAAGATTACAAGGCTAGCAAGAATGTCTGGAGACCCAGAGAGGGTGCTTTGGGTCTGTTAAGGGACTAACATTGTACAAGTTAATCTGTTGTCTGCTGGGAACTGTTGTGCTTTCTTCAAGGGCCCCAACTTTGCCAGCCAATGTTTTTTTCATAAAGCATTGGCCAGTGCAATAAAACTGTGTGACTATTATAACAAGTTAGTCTTGTCCTTATATACTGTTGCTAGGCAACTGCAATTCTTTCTGTTAATTATTTTTAGAATACTGGAGGGTGTTTAACCATATTTTTCAGAGTAACCTTATTGTCTTATTTATTACTTGCAAAGGTAGACTTGCTAATTCTCTTTTCTTTAGGCTATGCTTGGCTCTTCTGGGGGTAGCACTATACCTGTATTTTATACCTTTTTTTTAAAGCAGTTTGGCAGTTATCATGAAAGTTACTCAGATTAAAAGCATTGCATCATGCCAGAGATTTTACATTTTCTATTACAAACTGAGCCTCCTAAAATGATTTAATAAATTAAGCTGGTTTACATTTTTTCCTTCTTTTCTTTTGAAAATGTACAGCTTCTCTCTAAAATTGATCCCTCGTGTTTATATCCCAGTGATCAGCAAAACCATTAAATGTTCACATTTACATGCATTTTGGTCAAACTCTTGAAGCTTGCAAGGTTTAGGTGGCATTGTAGGCTAGACAGGCCCAGGGACCATACACTGAAAAGTAACAATTTTGATTTTGTATTTTGGCAGATGGAATTTTCAGGCCAGTATGACCTAAATTGTGTATAACCACCTAGACCTCTAGATACTGTATATGTTATAAATGCTATAAACTGCATAAAAATTGAATTATAGTATAACATAGATCCACTCATATCCAACTCTACCAAAAATACATGTACCACACTCATTTTAAGTGATACCCCATTTGAGTCATGCATGGAAGCCAGCAGAGGCTCATGAGATGTTCATGTGCTTTCTTTTACCTTAAAAAAAAAACAGGCTGTCTGACCTTCCTCTAAACTAGTCTTTCTCAACCAAGGTTCTGTAGGACCCTAGGGTTCCTCCAGCGGATGCTAGGGGCTTCTTGAGCAATGAGCAGTTTGTGTCTCCCAGATAAGTCACTGACATAAATAAAAATGTAAGATATCTGTAAGGGTGGCATACTCCCAATGGCTACCAATGTATGACGCTTTGTTTCCACTGACC